ATTGAAATTTCCTCAATAGCTTCCAAGTCCAGTAAGATAGAATTAAAATTCCCAGAATGCCATGTAAGGTCCCAGTTGATCTGGTACTTTATCTCCCTCCTCTCTTTCCCATCTCCCAGCAACACATCAAATGCTCCCACCTGCACTTTTCCAAACAGTCCAGGGCTCTCCTATGCCACATATTTCTTTGCTTATTTTAGACCATCTGCTTGATTTTTCTTCTTGATAGTACCCTGAGCTTTCCCAGATACCATCCCTTATCTTCCTGCCCAAATCCCCATTTTTAAGTCTCCATTAGGAAGACTATTTGGACTGCTTTCAGAAAGACTTACTGTTCCTCTTTTATATGTTCTCAATGCACTGTGTGCATTTGAAGTACTTAAAACTATCATAATTATTGTCTTGCAATGGCCTGATTCACCGCTGGAGGGGAAACTTCTTGAGGGGCAAGAAGTGTTTCCACCGCCACTATGATCTTCTCAGCGTGTGAAATGGAATCTGGGTGCTGACAGGTATCCAGCAATGAGTGAATGAATGAAGCAAACTCAGCATCAACATCTAAAGAACTGACCTATCCATAGCCCAAATGGATTGGCCACAGCCTTGTGGCCTCCCAGGAACATCTCCAATCAGAAGTTTCAGTCTAGCCTCATTGCTCTGAAATAACTCCCAGCTTCAGTTATTTCAGAGTATTTCCACTGAGTGAGTGAATCAAAGCCATAACACACACTGGAGATTGATAGAATATCTTCAGCCTGTATGATGCTCCAATGATTCCCTAATCAGATAAGCATCAAGTCTTGTTCTGAAAAAAATATGGGATGTTCCCCTCTCCCCACCCACTTTGACCCGACAACACTCTGAGAGATAAGCTGGGGAAAAAAAGTAAGAGGGATACAATGTTCAATTGTATTCATTTCATGTTTTATGAAACAGAGTTGAAGGTGGGGTAAGAAATGTAAAGATCCACTTGTCCTTAGAGCTCAAGGCTAGCATTAGCTTCTTTAGTCATTATGACTGCCTCTGAAACAAAGCGCCAGACAGCTTATGCAACCAGGCGCAGAGAGAGAAAAATAAGGCAATTGGAATATTTTGTGCATAAAAGGAAATGTTCTTCCTTTTAAAAAAGAAAACAGACAATACTCTCCTAAGAGTGTACTGGGAGGTAAAAATAGTCATGCTGGTACTGAGCAGAGCAACAAGATGTATTTATTTTCTACCCCAAACTCCAGAGCTGCTAAGTTATTCTCTTAATTTAAAAGCTTGCTAGAAAAGAAAAGTTTCGTTAACAAAATGTGCTTATATGCCACATCAACAAACAGGAAAAAGGAAAGATCCTGCACATTAGAGATGCAAATTGTGTGAGCTCTACTTGACAAGAATGAGATGATAGTAAAGTGGAAGAAAGAAGATAGACGTGACTGGAAGCAATGAACAGTTTAAGAATGATTACAGTAAACTTTCCCCTCTCTTCAAAGCCTCTGTCAAGCTACAGTGATTGGCTCTGAACCTAATAATTTGCTGAGATTTTAATTGCATATGTCCCTTGCATTGTTCCTTGAAGAAAACGGGAGGCTAAGAAAATAGGAAATTTGAAACTGTTCCCTAATTCTTTTGGAACTTCACTTTTAAATACTAAAAATCCAAAGCAAATTAAACATGCAATCGCATGTAACTCACAACTGATTTTGGTTTTATGTCAAATTTCCTAAAGATAAAACTTTGCGATTGTGAACCCAGACAATGAGGAGTCTTGAATAGCTTGAAATGAAAATAATGTCTGTTACAGAATGCACCCTGCAATCTTAATTTACAGTCAGTTGCAAAATTAAATTGTCAGTTCTAACTTATTATGGCATCTTAGTATTTTAAATGGAAAGCACCTTCAAAAACATTTCATCTGGAATCCCCTAATAGTGATCATTCACCCTCTGGTGACAGTGAGCTCACAACCCACCAGTGGCCTCCTGTACTGTGGATGCCTCTAATTCTGGCCTACACTTTGTCATGGTGAGCTGACCTTACCCTGCTTGTAACTGTTACCCCCTTTAGGTCTTTGCTCCTTATTCTGAAGCTCTATGGAATAAAGCCCATTCTTCTCGTATTTTCAAAATCATTCCACTTTCCCACTTAATCAAAGTATTTTGAATCTTCTTAGGATCATGCCCTCAAAGATGCAGACAACATCCACCCTGTGGTGGTAACGATCCCACCTCTCTCCTCCTCCACCACCTCCACTCCATCAGTCACCATCAACTGTGATCTCCTCTTCCATTCTCATGCCCTCCCTCTGCTCCCCGTAGAGCAGCCAGCATGGTCTTTGCTAAATAAGACATTTCACTATGTGTCAGTCTGCTGAAAACCCGTCAGTCCTCCCTGCAGTGCTCCAGTTAAAGATCCAGAATCCACAACACAGTCCACAGCACCTACAGCCTCTGGCCCTTGTTGCCCTCCCTGCCCCAAATCATTTGCTGGCTCCTTCTTCCTTACTTGAGATGCTTCATCTCCACTTTCTTCCCATTCCTCAAATGAACCAGTGAAGCTTTCACAGATGCTGGTCCAGGAAATGCTTTCTCCGCCCTGTTCACCATTTGAGAATTATGGGTTATTCAGGTCTCAGGTTACATGTCCCTTCTTCAGAAAAACAGTCCCCAAATCCTCGTACTAAGCCAGGTTCTTCTACCATCTCTTAAGGCCCTCTTTACTGCCCTTCATCACATTTATGATTTGTTTTTTTTTTACTTAATTCTGCAAATAATATCATATACTTTCATGGTAGTATCCTATTTCAGTTGTCATTTCACATAATAATGTTATTAATAACACTATCTAACTTTATAGAGGTTTTACAACATGCAAAGTGTGTCAGCAGCATTATCTTAGGTAAGCTTCAGAACAAAGCCCACGCAGTAGTTAATATTGCTAGCCACACAGCACAGACGAGAAAATGAAGCTCAGACAAGTTAAAATGAGTGGCAGAAGAGGGTTTAGAAGCCAATGCAGTCTAGAACCTAATGATGCTCTAAATTTTTGCACTGTATGTTGCTATCTGACTCCCCTCAGCCCCCTTCCCCCCCCCACACACACACACACTGGTCTACTGATCCTAAAAAATGTGTTGATGGCCAGGGAACCTGTCAAAAGGGACTGACAGTCCTGCAGCTCAGTTGCACAAAGTCAGACTGCTGCCTCTGTACCTTTTTCTCTGGTATCTCTCCCCTTCCCTCTATGGCACTCAACTACCCATGAAAAGGAGAAATTAAATGAGCAAATATGGTATCTTCATCTTGCCGTCTCCAGAGACTTCTTCAATATATAAGGTACTTTCCAGAAAACAAATAACAGAGAAGAGGAATGAATCACAGAAATAAATTGTCTGGATTCATTGGCAACAAGGCATGACTGAGAATATGTGAAACTCAGATGATTTAGGAAGAGCTTCCAGCCTGTTTCCCACAACATCAACAGTGATAACTGCCAAAAGTGTGCAAGTATTTGCCATTTCCTCAACCCTATGCCAAGTGGTTTGCTTATGCTACTTTGCATAATTGTCACATGGACCTGATGAGGTTGGTACTATTACATTACAATCACCATTTTACTAGATGAGGAAACACAGATGCAGAAACCCTTGGCCACCATCTGCAATTCATAGCAAGCACTCTGCCCCTGCTAGACCTGGCTCCACAGCCTGAGACTTGTAAGACTGTAGGTCAGCATTACGCCAAACAAGAAAGGTTCAAGAAATAATCCTAAAATAGAGTAGGGGTAATTATTAGTAGGAAACATGGACCCGGAGGGGAGAAGCCAAAGGGAAAGGGGACTGACTAGCTTTAGTAACATGACCATTATGGTCCATCAGAGACAGAAGCCAAAGCAAGGTTTAAAATACTTGGGAAGGGGATGGAAAAGATTCCCTTTGGACTGACTCTAGGATTTCTACAGTCCAAGATGAGGATCTGGTACAGCTCAATGGAGCACAGAAATCACATTGGGCTGACTCGACTACCTAAGATGGTCTGGAAATAGCAATCAGCCAAACCAAAGCGATCCATTCACACATCCAGGGTCTACTCTATGCCGAGCACTGTTCTGGGGACTAAACTGGTAAGAAGCAAGATGACAGAGTTCTTGCTCTTGAGTTTACTTTGTGGTGGGGAAGAGACAGACAATCAACAAACAAGGGTTTATGCATGTGTATATTTCAGGGGTGATGGGGCTGAGTTTTATGAAGCAGGTAAGGGGGCTAGAGAGCACTGAGAGGCAGTGGGGTGGACAGAGTGGGTTCCAGTAGAAAGCCAAGTGGAGTGAGGGCCTATATCATGCATACATCGGAGGGAAGAGTCTAGAAATAAAGTAAAAGCAAGGACAAAGGAGTAGGAGGAGATAGCTGGAGCCTAGGGAGCAGGAGAAAAGAGCAGAAGGGGCCAGGTGAGAGATGAGTGGGGACAGCCTCATGGGGCCGGGAGGGACTGGTCAGAACTTTGGGAATGCATGGAGATAATGACTTTCATTACTTTCCTACTATTTTGATGGCCAGAGCTTCTGATTTTCCTTGACAACTTACTATAAAGGACAATATTGCCAATTGAAGAATTAGACATGAAAAGGTATCTACAATTTTATCCTCAGACACGACCTTCTTCAGTTTCCTGTGTTCTCCTCCTGGCTTTTTTCCATATGTGTGCAGACTTTTATGCTTCTTGTCATATTTCCAGTTTCATACCCTATTTTCTTCACTTAGTTTCGTGTCACATGTGTTTTACAAATTGATAAGAAGCCTTCCAAATAATCATTCTAGTGTTTGCATGATATTTTCTACTATGTCCTCTAGGATATTCCAATGGCTTCCAGAGGTTCACTACTACTAGTGATACACAAACATCTTTCCAGGTTTGGATTAGGTGGGGACCCTTCCCCTCCACCTAAATAGTGAATGTTTATAGATGTGAGGTACTTCTTGATGGTCCCTATATGTTGGAAGTTGTGAGATTAATTACCTGCTGATGGTATCTGTCACCTTCTCAGAGTAGATGCCTTCTGGCACTGGTTCATATACCGCCTCCACTATCTGCAAAACAAACAGACTGCAGTGGTAGATGTGATGGGGCTGTTGGCATCTTAGAGCAATGATGCTTAGCCACAACATGAAGTGCATGCACAAAATTTAATCAGAGATAAAAACATCCCAACCAAATAAAAAATTAACATCAATTAAACAATTCTAGAACACTGAATTATATTCCCCATGCTGGGCTACAGTTAACCTTAGATTCATAATAAAAAGATGCATGGGGTAATACCATATGCTGGGTTGTGGGCAGTCCAAACTGCAATTAAAAATAAGAGACCAGGGGCTTGGGCTGTAGCTTAGTGGCAGAGCACTTGCCTAGCACATGTGAGGTACTGGGTTCTATCCTTAGCACCATATAAAAATAAACAAATAAAGGCATGGTGTCCATATATAACTATAAAAAAAATTTTAAATAATAATAAGAGACCAAAAGTAACTTGATATATTCATATTTTATAAATTTCTATGATGAATGAATGAATGCAGTTGGATATGGAAATGTGCATAGCATGGGACCTACATTTAGAAGAAAGGAGAAAAAATAAGTCGGATCGTGCATTTAATAAAGCAATGTTGTTTTCAATCAACATTTGAATAAAAATCACATAATTTCTGTTAGGAAGTAAATGAATGGCCTGTTAAAAGCAACATGAGACCTTTTGTCTTCCAACTTTCCTTACTTTTGTAGCCAAGGAGAGCATGTTGGTGCTGCAGAAGGGAGGACTCAGGGTGGCCATCTGATACAGGATGCAGCCTGCCGCCCAGACGTCAGCCTTCTCCCCGTAAGGCTCGCTCTTCAGCACCTCTGGGCTGAAATAAGTGTAGGATGTTAATAGATACCTATTAAGGGGGGGGGGGAGGCATCAGCACAGAAAGAAGATCCAGTTTCCCAACTGTTATTGGAGATATCTTTGAAAAGGACTTGCAACTCCTAATCAAAATTTCAAGTAAACATATTAAAAGGTATCTTGGAAACCTCCCAGCCTCAGATGAATCAAGAAGCACAACCAAGCAATTCAGATTAAGCACTAAATATCAATAAACCATAGAAAACATGACCTGGTATGTGTCTGAGGAGGTTTATTTCTGTAAAGAACAACCCCTCTGTGGTAGATGAAATTTTCCGCCCTAGTTCTTTCTTGCTCTAGAGAACTTGCTGGGCATAGTTCGTTTACTGACTCCTGCCTTCGGTTTTGACTGTGTTTTCTTGCTTTGGCCAATAAAATGGGGGAAGTGACAGTGTGCCAGATCAGCGTCTCAGTCTTAACAGGTATTGAGTGTTTCCTCTTGTCCTGCTAGGAGCTTCTGTCCACTACCAGGAGAAGAAGGTGTCTGTCCCAGGTAGCTGCTACCTTCACAGCATAGCCTATAAACCTGCAGACCCTATGAGGCTAAGAAGAAATGCTTATCATTGGATGTCACTGAGATTTTGTGGTGATTAATAGTGTAGCATTAGTATTGGGGGAAAAAAAACTGATATGGCTTCCTCACTCTGCTAATCAACTCTAGGTTATAACGTGAGAGAAGAGCATATTTAAGTATGTTTCTGGAAACAACACTAGCTACCATGTTCACCTCTTCTGAAGTGGCCACACAGTTTAAACGAGTTTCCAGTTGAAGTTAATCTATGAGGGTTTATGGATCTGTCACTTATAATTTAATGTGGAAAGAAATATTGTTTCCTTGGATGTTTCTAATAGAATTTTTTTTTCATGTTTATAGAATAAAGCTCAAGTAAAAACTAAAAGCTTTCAACAAAACACGCCCTGCTAAGGTTTGGGTCTACCGCAAAGGGACATGTGTAGCTTCATTACCAGCCTGTGGTGCTATCGAGAGGTTGTAGAACTTTAGGGAGGCAGGACCTAGTCAGGAAGTTAGGTCACTGGGGACATGCCTATATGGGGATGTCCCAGCACCTTCCTGTCTCTCTCTCTGTTTCCCAGATACCATGAGGTGAGCAGCTGCAATGCTCCCCTGATGAGGTGCAGCCTCACCACAGTCCTAAAAGCAATGGGACCAACTGGTCGTGGACTAAAACCTCCAAAATCATGAGAAAAAATAAACCCTTCCTCTTCTGAAATTGATTATCTCTGGTGTTTTGTTGCAATAATGGAAACACATACACAAATGTACTCTCAAGTTAAGTAGTTTGATAATCCAATTCTATAATATACATTTAGGTCAGGGCTCAGCTCTCTAAATTAATGGAGTGGAAATTAAGAGTTGGCTTTGACAGTGGGTTAAGGCATAAAGAAGCTTGTAAATCAAGATCAGAATAATCAGGGTAGGTATAAGTCAGAATTGGTTAGAGAGAATAAACAAGGAGCGAGCCACAATGGCATACCCCCATAATCCCAGCAGCTTGGGAGACCGAGGCAGGAGGATTGCAAGTTCAAACCCAGCCTCAGTAACTTAGCAAGACCATAAGCAACTCAGTGGGACCCTGTCTCTAAATTTAAGAAAATATATTTTTAAAAGGGCTGGGGATGTTGCTCAGTGGTCAAGCACCACAGGGTTCAATCCCGGTATCAAATTAAATAAATAAATAACAAGGATTTGCCATTCTTGTGAGAAAACAAGACTAATTCCAAATTTAAGATTTACAGTAAGAATTTCAGGGAAATGTGTTACTTCTAGGTCTCTCAGTTAACCATTTTCAAATTTAGCATATTTTTTTTAGTTCAATAATATGGCAACGGGGCAAAATTTTCCAGGATGCTGCTGGGTCTAGGAGTCTGGGCATTTCCCATTATCCCTTCATGAGCTACTTATATTTAAAAATGTCTTAAGAAGAAATAGCATCCTCATCAGAAAAAAATACCTTTGACTCCCTACAGACCAATTTCCCACATTGTCATCTCTGAGAACTCAGGAGATTTGTTTCATGTTTCAAGGCTCATGAAGCAGATGCTCCACCATGTCCCCCCAATCCTCGTTCCACTTCCTGTTCCTTTTGTACTCCAGCCAGCATTTGCACTTTTTTAGACAACAAACTTCAATTTTTTTTAATCAAAAGACAATTTTTGAATATAGGAGAAAGCACCTGTCAGAATACAGTTTACCTGTTTATTTTTCTCATCTTTATATCTCCCTCTTTTTCTCACTAGAGACCACAAAAATCTTCCCATCTCTCTTTTGCAATGTGGCTTTGTAGTTTCTCCAGTCCTTGATTCTGTGCTGGGTTATATGACTAACTTTGGCCAATGAGATAATAGCAAAAGTGATGCAAGAAAAGACTTAGAAAGCTCTCTGGCACTTGTTGTTTCCTGCTCTTGACATCACTTTGATCAGTACCACATGATTAGAAATAGGCACACCTGCTGAATGATCAGCAACACATGACCCAGTTCCTCCAATGGGCCTGCCCACAGCCAGCTGGCCTCAAGACACAAGTGACAGGCATTGAAAACTAAGGGACCACACAAGTAATCAAGGCCAGTCCCATACAATGATCAATCAGCAACTCCCCTGGAGCCAGCCCAGTTACCAGCATCCAGTACATTGACGGGGAGAAAAAGGCTATTGTATTAAGACGTGATGTTTTAAGGTAGTTTGTCAAAAAAAAGTTAACTTTCATCAGAGTCACCTTTCATCAGATTCTCAAAAGTTGTCGATGTGCCCCTGAAAAAGACTGAGATATCACTTCTCTGGAAGATAATAGGAATGGAAAGTAAGAGATACAGTTGCCAACCATCACACTGCTTCTGGGATAAAACTTTAAAATTCTCTAAGGTCAAAGAGCTTCGTAATTACTTCTAAACGTAATGACACAGTCTAATTTCTACCAGTCATAACAAAAGTTTCTGTGATGACTTAAATTCTACCCCATCTCCAAAACTCATAGGTTGAAACTCCAACCAATTCCTCAAAATGTATCCATTATTTAGAGATAATATCTTTAAAGAAATTATTAAGTTAAAAAGGATGTTTCGGGGGTCAGATTGAATTCAATGTGACTTAAGTACTTAAAAAAAGAGGAAGGAACATAAGGAGTATACAGGCACAGAGAGACAATCTCAGTGAGAGACAGCAAAAGGAAGCTGTCTGCAGGCCAAGGACACAGGCTTCAGAGGAAGCCAGCCCTGCTGACAGCCTGATCTTGGACTTGCAGCCTCCAGATCTGTTTCTCATACCAACAAATTGGTGCTATTTTGTGACAGTAGCCCTAGCGTGCACATGCACATTCTGTGAGAAAATCTACTCATGTGTTTTTCATCCTCAGAAAGAAACTGGCCTTTGGAAATATAATTAGGTCATATTTGACCAATATTTGCAAACATATCATCTGGTTTGTGTGTGAGAATGGTTACTGTTTAGAAAATCGTTGTATAGCAATTCACTGCCATGTGTGATAATTTCCAAGTTCCCCGCTTAAGGCGAACCTAACCATATTTAGGGAAATAAAGAGTTATAACTAGAAGAGTGTTATTTCTTTCTTTGTTTTTATAGTATTGGGGATTGAACTCAGGGGCGCTCTACCACTGAGCTATAACCCTAGCTGTTTTTTATTTTTTTTATTTTGACACAAGGACTTACTAAGTTGCCCAGGCTACCCTTGAACTTGAGATCCTCCTGCGTTAGCCTCCCAAGTCTCTGAGTTTACAGACATGCACTGCCACTCCCAGCTAGCAATAGTTTTAAGAGTAAGAAGTTAAATAGTACATACACAAAAATGTATACACTAATACCCACAAGCCATATAGAATTTAAAATAGGATTTTCTTCTAAATAAAACCAAATTTTTTTTGTTTTTGCTTTAAAGTTATCCCTGTGATTAGATCATTTGAAATATTTTTGGTAATAGAGCATATCTTATGTGATATTTAACAAAAATAGGGGCTCTCTGGAAACGATTAAAGCACTTACAATTAAGTGTATAAAAATTATAGTCATTATATGTTATACTCCAATAAAAAAAATTAAGCAAATCCAAGGATAACAGGAACTGAGTGGATGGCAAGAAACCATGTATGTCTACCATAAGTAAACTTAACCCATAATACACTGCCTGTGAGAGATATATGGACTCAACTTTATATAAACATTATTTCTGTTTTCAAAAGAGATTCACTTTGGTGTGCTGATTTTAAGTCCTTTGGGTGTAAACCAAGGAGTGGGATAGCTGGGTCAAATAGTGGTTCCACTACAAGTTTTCTGAGGAATCTCCATACTGCTTCACGATAACTAAACTACGGCATCAACCAACGAGCCCTTCAACAGATGAAAATGGATAAAGAAAATGTAGTACATTAACACAATGGAATATTACTCAGCCTTAACGAAGAATGAAATGATGGCATTTGCAGGTAAATGGATGGAGCTGGAGAATATGTGCTAAGTGAAAGAAGCCAAACCCCCAAAACAAAAGGCCAGATGTTTTCTCTGATAAGCGGATGCTGATCTGTAATAGGGGTAGGAAAGGAAAGAATGAAGAACTTTGGATTCTGCAGAGTGGAGTGAGGGGAGGGAATGTGGGGGTGGGTGGGATGGTGAAATGAGAAAGACGTTACTGCCCTATGTACATGTATGATTACAGGACCAGTGTGACTCTGCACCAGGTACAGCCAGAGGAATGAGAAGCTATGCTCTATTGTGTACAGTGTGTCAAAATGCATTCTACTGCTATGTATAAGTAATTAGAACAAATTTTAAAATAAATAATTAGTTATTAATTAATTAATAATTCACAAATTGATAATAAAAACCCAGTGGGACAGCTGGGGCTATAGCTCAGCAGCAGAGCACCTGCCTAGCATTCGTGAGGCAGTGGGTTCGATTCTCAGCACCACATAAAAATAAACAAATAAAAT